AGTGCCGGTGTTGGGGTGGGGGAAGGGAGTGGGGGGAGGAAGAAGGGATCCGTGGGGATATGGAGTGTGGGAGAAAGAGTCGGAATCCAAGATGCTCAAATCTGGGTTGGCTCCCAGCAAACGCGCACCGAAGAAGTGAGGGGAGAAGGAAGAGAGGAAGAGAAACAGTGGGGGTGGGAAAGTGCTAAAATCCACGGGTTAGGGGGCGCAAATTACTTGCCTTGCCCCGGGTGCTGACAACCCACGCTACGCCACTGCTGTGGAGATTCTCAGTTATCCAAGTCCTGGTTGTCTCAAAGGTGCTTTTTCAAAAGGCAGTTGGACTATGTTTTTTCCTTGAGGAAGAAGACATTTTGCTTCTCATCCAAGAAGCTTCTTCAGTTCTGACAACTGAAGAAGCTTCTGGGGTGAGAAGCGAAACTTCTTCCTCAAGGAAAAAAACATAATCTAGTTGCCTTTTGAAAAAGCACCATTGACATGACAGTATGAAAGATAAAATGTACTTTAAAAAGTAAATATTGTAAAATAACAGAGACAAAACCTAGGGGGAAAAAGGATAAGCATAACCAGTCGAGTAGTGGAGCCATCTGAGCAAGTCTCTAGTAACCTGAAAGCCTTACAACTTACAATTGTGAAGGAAGTTTTCCAGAAAAAAAAAATCATGTCAAGTGACCATGGAACACTGCTACCATCCATAAAGGCAAGCTGGTTGTCAAGTGCCTGCAATGCAGTCATGTTACTTTTGGAGGGTGGGGTACCACTGTCAAATTTGGAACTGGGTCATAAGTACCTTTTTGGGGGGGTCCATCATAACGGAAATGGTCACTAAGTGAGGACTACCTGTAACCCATTTCAGTGGGAAGAACTTAACTGTAATTTGTATAAACCTGCATACTGTAGTTGTTACTTTTTTCTTAATTCTTGAGGGAAATACTGTTGACGCAAATCATAATGGAAGAACGGCATAGAGAAAGTGATAAGATGGTATTGTTTAGAATTTAGTTTTTGAGAAAAAGTTTCTAATGTTCTCCTTTCAAAAGAGTTCAGGGTTTTATTTAAGTTCACTCCTGAATTTGGCAACCGTGCTATATTGAAATATGAATCTGAGCATGTGACAGGCTATTACACAGGAAAGGATCGGCCCCATCACAACATGAATTGGCTTTGAATGAATAAGATGATGCTAATAAACTCAGTCAGTTTCAGTCTTTCTGAACCATTCTTGTCTCCCGACAGCAGAATTTGAAGTTCTAGCAAATGTCTCCAGTCCTACTATCAGAGCTGTTTTATCTGGCAATATCATGGATTGCCTTGTTCTGTGTACAAAGCACCATTGTTTAATAAAGCCATAGCCATTTCTTTAAGAGAAATATCTTTCATACATCCTATATTTCCATATTACTACTACACGGTAGAGATCTGTTCTGCCTCAGTAGATTCATGTAATGTGCATGTAACTTTGCAAGTTGTCTTAATTACTTATTCGGTACTCCTGTTCTGCCATTTTCTTGCCTCACAAAAATGTGTTAGTTCCCCTCTTGTTACAGCCTCACGTTCCTCCTAATTTGATCATCTTCATACAAAGCTGCGCTAACATCCAAACCAGCAGAGACTTGCTCATGAAGGAAGTGCTTGTGTGCTTGTTACAGGGACTTGTATTTATGTGACTAATTATTAAAACTTTGTGCCTGAATCAGCATGCCGAGGACCAAGCCAAGTCACCAGATCTGTCAAGCTATTAAAGCCGACAGGCAACAAGCGAGAGAAAGAGCATGGGATGAGTTATAAATGCCCTGGAAATGGGGTGACGAGGCAGAGCTAATAGCTTTCCATTCAAATGATGCTGGAATCTCCAGGCCTAAAGCCACAGGGAAAATGGGGGAAGTAGAGGAAAATGAGACAGAGGGCTTTGTGCATCTGTACACATGTATAAATACTGTGAGAAAACTTACCTGGGTGATTCTTGCAACACAGAAACAATCTGTAGCTTTTGCCCAAACCTCTCCTAGGAGCCCATTTTTGGAATAATTGTTTCCCCAGGCCTCCTGATTTTCAAAACCCAGGAAGAAAATACACAAACTTGATGTTATTTAGATGGATAACCCAACTGTTTAGCTTCAGTAGCAGTTTGAAAAACGATTTCTTTTAATGCTTGAAACTAATGAGCATTTCTGCCCTTGTGATAGCCCCTGTCTGCTTTTTTCCAGCTGTTACATATGCCAACTGATGCATGCAGCATTTCAATAAAAGTCAGCGAAAGGGATAGGTAGAAGAATTGTTAAGCCAAGTTCATATATGCTAAAAAAAAGAGTGGAAAACTACCCTTCCTTCCTATCCCATTTGGGGGGGGGGGAATGAACCTGATGTATTAGTGAAGTGAAGACAGTGATAATGAGTCAGAATTGCTTTGTACAAACCAAGGCTCAGAATACTTCCAGGAGGTTTCAATTATAAGAACAGGATATAATCATGCCTATGCGGTAATGGCAAATTCAGTCTCCCAGTGTGGATCCATATGGTGCCATCCATATCCAAGAGGGAGATCATTGGCAATCTTAGAAAAACTCTTAAGGTTTGCAAAGCAATAAACCAAAACTAAACTAAACTAAGCCAAACCAAACCAAACCAAACCAAACCAAACCAAACAATAAAATAAAATAAAATAAAATAAAATAAAATAAAATAAAATAAAATAAAATAAAATAAAATAAAATAAAATAAAATCTTCCTATTAGAGTTCAAGGCAAGAATGTTGGCTGGATTGTAGATGGTGAATATGAGGCAGAAATGGGATGGAAAGGAACACAAAGAGAGCATTTCTGGCTGGCTGATTTACAACAAACAATTCTGTAATAATGTGATACTTGAAGAATCAATCCAGTTCAATGGTTGGAGCAGAGATGGGAAACTATGGACCCTTTATGACTTGTGAACATCAACTCCCAAAAAATTACAGGGCCAAAATTACAGGATCTAAAACCCAACCAGAATGATTTCAGGCAGTGCTATTTTTCTTTCTCCACCTAACTAGATCTCAATGATACATATTAGAGCTGTCCATTTTACCATCACTTGATTATAAACACCTTTATTGTAAATGGACATGATGTTTTTCCGGAGCAGCTAGAAACTGAAGCTCCCAACAATTCAACCACCTGGGCTTACAGTAGGTGAGACTTGCATCATATATAATAGAAAAAGGTCCACATTTTGGAACTTACAAACATCCATTGAGAACCACTGTATTTCATTATAGAACTGTTGTGTGTGGGGGTAATTATTTTTATAGTTTCTTCCCTTATTTATTACGATCTGATCTTACTTTGATTTTTGGGTTATTGATTCTAAGCTCTTTTTCATAATTGTACATAATAACCCTAACTCTAACTTTGATATGACATTTCAAAATATTTTTTGCATTGAATTTCCATTGATTAGTGCAGTATTTTGAATTCTGCATCACCTTATACATAATATTTAAAAACAAATGTCATGAAAAATGTAACTGTAGAGTTAACAATTGTAGAGTTAATATTATTTAATTGAAGCCTATACCTTATATGTTCTAGGAACTTCATGTGCTCCAAGCACTGTCAGCCTAGGACCATGGTGGTGAACCTATGGCACGTGTGCCAGAGGCGGCACTCAGAGCCCTCTCTGTGGGCACGTGCACCGTCGTCCCAGTCCTCGGCCTTCAGCTGGGTTTTATAAAACCTTTTCGCTTTAGACCTCCATCCCCGTGTGCAAAAGAAAAAAAAAGATTCAATCAATCAATCAATCAATCAATTTCAACTTCTCACGGGAAAAAAAAGATCTCGCAAAGTTGGAATTGATTGATTGAACTTTTTAGACCCACCCAGTCTGCCGTTACCACCATAGCCACGCCTACCCAATGGGCCACACCCACCCAATGGGTCACAC